GACGTGTATACACACAGATATGCACACGCGCGCACGCTCTCTCTCTCTCTCTCTCTCTCTCACACACACACACGTATGGATGCATTTACGAGGGTGACAAGCCCCTGTAGCCAAGCCTGATGCTCATGCACAGAGTACTGCGGTCACGCGCATGTTGTACGTACTCACATACAACCACCCACACGCTAACTTAATGGATTAAATTAAATCTGCACTACTATAAATTTCTACTGAGACAGAGCAGACTTGTTCGCACATTGTATGTACGCACACGAGAGTGCACGCACACATCCGTAACAAGAACTGATGGCGCTTGGGGGGACGCGCGGAATATATCTGTCGGAGCCGTTCCACGTTTAACCGTCTCCACACATCACACCCGCAGCGCCCGGCGTCGCTGCGACCACAACGCACCTGAGAAGTATTTGCTGCTGCATGATTTGCTGCTGAACCAGCTGCTGCTGTAGGTAATGCTGCTGTTGCTGCTGCTGCTGCTGCTGTATTAGCTCTATGTGCCCTGCGTCTTGCGTACTGCCGCTGCTGCTAGAAGGCACTATGCCAGCGCCCACCTCACCAGTGGTCAAGCTCTGAACATTGTACAAAAGCCGCACATTACAAAAACACGGATCTGTTATAGAGATAGCTGCAATCAAACCATATTACATTGTTACTTATATCTGTCATAATATTATATCGATCAATGAATGAACGGATTGATAGATGAATAAATGGAGAGATAGATGGACTTTTCAGTGAAGAGATGTATGAATGATTTTTAATCTTTGGAACACAATAACCTAAGATAATGTAAAATCATCTGCAATGAATATATTGCTGGAAAAATATCCAGATTAACAACTTAATAATAGGTGAGCACTTTAAATGTGTGAAATATGACAGTTGTACGAGCTCACACTACTTACACTGCTCTGTAGAGGCGGTAACCGTTCCGTGAGACCCGGTAAGAACGGAACGCTATCCCACCGCTTAATGATTTCCCCTACAATCACAAACATGCATTATATCGCTATACTATATCATTACTACATCACTGCTTATGTTAATAGTATCGACAGTCGACTGTAATTTGTCATGTGTATAACACACAATAAAATGCGGAAATGAAATCTCGTGCTCACGATATTCTTCTTCACAATAGAGGGCTCTAGTGTTTACAGATGTACCACCTATTACTTATGCAATACAAACCAATGATAAATAATGTAATATAACTTATATACAATGTTACAAATTCCACAAGTCTCACATTCGGAGATCTATCAACGTCTAGTTCTCGCAAACAAACACCTACCGAGCGTGAGAAAGCAGCTGTCGCAGCCACGCTTCACTAGCAGGTTCATGGGGAAGAATCCGCAGCCAAACCACTCTGCCATTTCCGACGGCTGGAACGGACCTGCCGCAGGGGCACATCAACGCAGTCAGTTACGTATCACCCCTAGTACCGCCACCTATCTCACACAAACAGTAGGAAACCAGCAGGAAACCCACTCTGACATCTCCGAAGGCTGGAACGGGCCTGTCACACAGCAGTGTAGTTTAGCAACCCATCACACAACCTACTTCTCCCAACTACGACTCACGTACAAGACACTCAGCGGTAGAAACAACCAGCGGCAGCAGCACTACGCCTTGGTTACAAGCCCCTGCAGTTCTACCGATATCATGCAACTCTCACCTCCCGCGCGCATGCACTCTCGCAAACGCGCGCTATTTATATTTCCCACCTTGTAGATCTCCCTCGGGGTCTTTGTAAAACCAGTTCAGCGCATCGGCATGAGTAAGCGGCAGAGCCATCGACGCAGGTTGAGCTGGGGCTGACACCTGTTTTAACTCCTCCTACAAATAATAGGTGCTCAAATACGGAAAAAATCGATAGGTTTAAATAAACACGGCCTTCAAAATCTACCAGCAGGATTGGTTATAGCTTATCGACAGGCCATGCTTCGGCATGCGTATTCAATCCCCCTAAGCAGGTGAGGCGGAACATGTTGGCGATTTGGCAGCAGAGAAGTTAGCAGTTGATCTCTTTGCGAGAGTCACACATTACCCTATCATATGCCCGTACGTGCATATGCCACATTACTAGATGCACATCCTGCTTGTTTACGACCACTACCTGCACGAGCCTCACCACCTCTGCCTTTCTCATCACGTCTGCCTTTCTAGGTCCCCATCACAGCACACACACTAAGTAATTGTAAAAAAACGCAGCTACGCGCGCTACCGCCGCCTCACCTCGGCCGTCCACGTCTCCATGAGCGTTTCCGCCGCCTTCTTGATATGGTCCAGGTAGTCTTCCTCCTTTATCGTCGCTGCGCTCGCTCCGTCCGCCACTCCCTCCTTCGCGGCGGGTTTTGGCTGCTGCTGCTGCGGCGCGTGTGAGATCACAGTAGGTTTGTTGTCACTGGGCGGGGACCCGCGGGAGGCGAGCGGGTTGGGGCGGGGCGGCTCCCTCGCCGCGACCGTCGCCGACGGCTGGCTCGCCGAAGTCTTCTCTACACTATTTACAGGCAGCGAGTTCGAGCCGGGAGACGACGACGGTGACGACGACGATGCTGGCACCTCCGTGCCGTTGCCGGGGGGCGCCACCGCCCCGGAGTGCTGCCTTCTCCTGGCGGCGGCGACGGCGCTCTGTTCAGAGAGCGACGTGCGCTCGGGCTGCGCGTCCGATTGTTTGCCCGGTTTGACTGCAGCGGCGCTCAGCGCTTTGCCGACGTCAGCGCGTGCGTCAGACGTTTCACTGCTGGGTCGTCGCTGCTGCGCGGTGTGGTTGTTGTTGTTGGTCGTCGGGTTGTTGTTAGCACCATTGGAGGAAGAGTCGCCCTGATCGCTCGCGTCGCCCGCTCTAATCTCATCCGGTGGGTCAGCTTCGCCGTCCTCCGCGCCCTGACGATGTTAAGTGCGAGAATATACTCATCTCAGCTCTCACTTCTTCTTCTTCTCTCTCTTTCTCTCTCTCTTTCTCTCTCTCCTCTCACCCCTCACTTCTTCTCTTTCTCTCTCTCCTCTCACGGCTCACTTTCTCACTCTCTCGTGCACTCTCTTTCCCATTGATTTTCCCTCACTCTCTTACTCGCTATCTTTTCTCTCCTCGTCCCCACGCACGCCCACACACTCTAGGCTACCAGGCACCGATAGTAGATAGTGTAAAAGACAGCAAATCGTAATCGCAAAAAGCACTTACCTTTCCAGCCATAAAGGCACCACTCGAGTCGAACGTTCCGACATTTTCATCCACGTCCCACGGATCGTCCTGACTCCACTCTGGCAAATCCCCACCTAAAACAGAGCGGTTGCCACAAACATTACCTAGAAAATAGCACAGTTGTTACCAGCATTACCTTTCTATTCATCATTACAATGCAGTTTATAAAATATGACTTTGAGCCACATTTTCAGAAGTAACATGAATAGTTACCACTATCTGACTATCATGAGTCCAGGCTGCCATTACTTTTGCATGACATTTTCTATTAACTGACAAAAATCTATGAAGGATCTTCCGATCCTCCATATCTTATCTACACGAGAAAAAAGCCGAGTTATTTGAGGCAATCTTTCAGAGGTAGTACAGAGCGAAAAAAAAGTGTTTTCCAAAGCGGTGTGTAGACGCAAACGTGTGGGTTTGAAAACATCGGCTTGCTTCCTTGCGTAGACAGACACGGCTCATGCGAACCTACCCTTGCTGCCATCCTCCCGCTCCGTGTTCCTGGGCTGTGAGCCGTGTCTCGTACGGTCACGCACAAACTCACGGTCCGCGCGATCATCCTTCGTCCGCTCCCGCCAACTCGACACCCCAGCCTTAGGACCTGAAGATAGAGTATGACTACTGGACTACGTCACACACCACACACTGCTCGGCCTTCAATAAATAAAAAAAATTAATTAAGAAATATAATAATAAAGCTGCCCATAGGGAATGCAGATAAGAGTAAAAATAAAGTAACATTTCAATTAAGAAAATCTCCTAACATTTTCACACCATGCTCACACAGGTCACAGTACTTTCCTTGTTCGCCAGACCCTTCTACTAGTTCTAGCCTCCCCCTCCACCTTGTGCTTCCTTCTCCACACCCTCCTCCCCCGTGCTCCGTTCACCACCCGCTCTTCCCCCCTGCGCTCCCTTCTTCACCCCTCCTCTCCTGGGTTGCCTTCTCCACCCCTCCTCACCATGGGCTCCCTTCACCACCCCCTACTCCCCGCTGGGCTTCCTTCTCCCCCCCTCCTCCTCGTCATTCTCGCCGCACGACCACGTCACACTCACCGTACTTGTCGCGTTCGCCCGACCGGTGGGCCGTTCTCCAACCTCCTCCTCCTCCTCCGCCCGCGCTGCCTCCATCCTCGTCGTCGGCGCGGTCGCGCGTGCGCCAGTTCTCCGTGCTCATCGACCGCGAGTACTCGCCGCCGCTGCCGCCACCGCGTCTCACGATGACGACGCGACCCTCCGCGTCTCGCTCCACGGGCTTGTCTCGCTCCAGCTCGTCGAAACTACCGCGACCTGCAGGTCGGAAACGGTAAAACAGCCGGTGTCTCGCTCGTCTCAAGCATCAAGTTACCGCCCAGCACGACTGCATTACCGTTAATATATATTAATACTCTTACTCTATTATCTTATCATCTACTACTATTTATCTTGCTAATTATCTTACTAATTATCTCAAGCATCAAGTTACCGCCGAACACGACTGCTACTGTTAACAATACTAATACTCTTACTCTATTATTTTATTACCCACTGGTATTTATCTTACTAATTATCTTACGACATCTACGATTAACAATCAACAATCGATAAACATTATTGCACTTATTACAATTACTACTACTAAAACTAATGCTAATATTATTACCTCCGCCAGGGGCTTGGCGGGGGTTATGTTTTCACCGGCGTGTGTTTGATTGTTGGTTTGTGTGTTTGTGGGTTTGTTAACATGCACGTTTCAGTTCACTTCCGCTAGGTGCGCTGGCTGTAGACTTACAAACACGCAACTCCAGGCTAAGGGGCAACCACAGTCCTCCCCCACCTGCACGCTCGCAATAATCCGGATCCAATTAATTATTTAATTAATTAATTAATTAATTAATTTTTCCACTTAATGAATTAATTAATAAAAAATTCCACATTGAGAGAATTCAGCTGCCTTGGCGGAGGTCTGTGCTCTCTGAGTGCTCTAGTTACTATTGCTATGCTATGTTTATTTTTGATGTTTGCGTACTTACTATGGAATGGTCTGCTGAATCCGCCACGAAGTCCTTTAGTGTCATCCAAACTCGAGCTTCTATCGTCGTAACGTTGACGAATGAAACCATCGTGCTCCTCATCATAGGGTCCTCCCCGCCAACCCTCCCTTCCTCTACCTGTAAACACGTGCAGATGGTTACCTACACCGCTCCCCCATCCTTCCATTTCTCTTGCTGTAAACACACGCCGATGGTTACCAACCCGTTTGTCACCTGTTACTTTGTTACAAGTTTGCCCTAGCTGTTTTCACATCCGTAAACAGCTTTCTGCCTATGCTATAACGTGGTGAAGGGCGTGTGATAAGTAGCCAAGCCCTATGACCTAGATACGCAACGAGGTTAATGACTAAATGAAGAGTCAAAATGGCCTACAGTGCTCTTACAGTTAGTTTAAAATAAACCCATGCTGTATGATAAACTGATAGATTAAGTATTCAGCAGTATAATACTATAAGTAAATATATACTTTCTACAAAAAAAAAACACGGGCTGTATGATAAACAATTTACGCAGCGGATGCCGGCAATGACAACTTCCCAGTGATCTTAATTCGATATGAACCTAAGCAAAATCAAACAACCTGCAGTATTTAATTACATCATAATGAGGTGCCAGAGTCTGGACATGTGTTACAAGATAGGTGTTGAGGTGTTGTACATACATGCATACTCACAAGAGCACATAAACCCCTAGTGTTTACATAAATCCCTTAGGATTTTATGGCCTGGATACACACATACCTCTGCCTCTGCCTCTGTCGACACCACCTCCCCTCAGAGCCCCGCGCACCCCTCCTGCCGGCCCGCCTCTCCCCATCACTCTCAGCACGGCTGTACTGTTTACTGACTGTAGTGCACTCCGCTGTAAAGCAACACCAATGTCACACCAAGGTTGTTGAGAACTAGTAACACCACATGCTCGCACGCAGGCCTGCACATAGACACGCATGCACGCTCCCTATTATTCATTATATTATAGTTACATTTCTCTATTACATCTCTACACATCTACACAACTTTTATTCTCATACTTTATTGCGTATATCTGTTCCTATAGCTACTGTTCTATGCCTACTCTATCTATTAGAGTATTACCCAACTTTACCAGGGGCCCATTGTCAGAAACAAATTAGTCTTAACATTAACCTTAACATTAACTGTTTCTCTTAGAGAGTTGACAGAAACTTCGTAAAGGTAAGAGAATTAAAAATTCTCGTAACTTTTCTCTTAACTTAAGAGATCCTAGACCCTCCTTTAACTTTAATATTAAGCTGAAAATAACACATTTAGACTAAGAATTAAAATTATAGTGATATTATATTATATATTAATGAGTAATATCATGTTTTTCTTGAAAAACACGTCAAAAACATTAATTATCTACCGATCGAAGCAAAACAAAAGTGTCAAAACATTTACAAATGGCGTATGGCATTTGTTCTCTTGTTTCAAAGGTTTGCAACGCTTGCCACGATTCTCGCGTCTCGTGTTACAGTGTGAGAATTTGTCTTGTTGTGCAGAATGAATTCATGACCACGTCATTTTTCATCAAATATTATTTATATGTGGTTAGCCATCATAATATATACATAAATTACTGTGATGTACAATAAATGTGTAGGAATTTGAATTTTGTGATCGATTCTCATCCAATCAGCAGCCTTGTGATGAAGTTCCTGTTATTGTAAGTTTTCACTTAAGTAAGTTTAGTTACGATAGATTTCTGTCAACGCTATTAACTTTTCTTTTAACATTAACATTACTTACATTAGTCTTAAAATTAATCGTAACTTTACGAAGTTTCTGACAACGGGCCCCAGGCCTTGGATAGCGGATACACAGGGCATCACTTGACAGATGTCTTCGAAAAACAATCCTTATGCATGTTGTTGTGCGTTCACTGCCTAACTGGGACAACCGCTTAATCGGGATATTTTCACAGTACCCGACCTGTCCCCATGAAGCTGGGACTGCTGTACGATAGCTATACCTATTAGTGTTGTCAATCGGTTGTAATTTCGTAATCGATCATCGGTTGGACCCAAGTAACCAATGATCGGTTACAATCGGTTACTCGAGGTGTTGAATGCCTGCGTGTGCGTAACGTCGTGTGCATGTACGTGTGTGCATGTATGTGCTTGTTTAGCCCTGTTTACTGTTTGTTTTGCACTGTTTACTACTGTGTGTATAATACATGTATGTTAATAAAGGATAACTTGTATAGTAGCGATGATATATCTGATTCTCATCACTTTTCCAAGTTTTCTTGTTCAAGTTTTACATTTATTTCGATTTGTTATTTTTTTCGTTTTTTTTCTTTCAATGAAATCGATTATGGATTTTGATAACCAAGCGCTTGGTTTGAGCCACTGTTCAACCAATGATCGAGTATAATCGAAGATCGTGACATCACTACCTATTACTATTCTCATTAGTCTCACGCTGCATATTGGCTATCACCTGTTCGTCTTCGGATAGTGGGGAGAATGCGAGGGGATGCAGGGATTTCTCGCTGACCAGGCTTGTGACCGGAAGAAGGTCGTCCGGTGGCTGGGCCGGCGGATTGAACAGAGCGAGCATCTCCTCACGTCCATAGCTGGCAAAGAAAGCGCAAATGTCAGGAGTGAGTTGAGAATCATTCACAAACCCCACATGCACTACAATGGGCTCAAGTATATCGTCATTTCCTTAGTCTTTATTGACTGAAAGTAGCAGGAGTCACAATGAAGAAAAAATGCTATATTTACTCCCGGACGCCAAATTATAATTTTTCTTAGACATTATAGAGTTATTTGGTAAAATGATTACCTGAGCCACGTAACCGTTATATATATTCCCAAATGCGTACATACTATCACACACTACTATAAGGGTGGTCTTCAGGATTGTTAGACAGTGTGATAGCAAAATCCTCAGCGAATACCTAATAAAACGTTTTCGTTCCCAGCTTTTCCACCAGAAAAGTGCATAGTTACTTTTAATATTCCAAGAGCAGATCTGCTTGTTCCGGAAAAGAGGAAGCGTGTTAACGTCAACGCCTGAAGTATTCAGCCCAAAGCAGTAGTCAGCTTCAGCTGTTTTTGCTTGTGATCAATTATGTTCTGCGGCAGATTTTTTTAACTAGCTTACTCTCTGTTAGTACACACCGATACTGTGCTAGCTTGAACTTAGGGAGTCCGGGTGACGGTGGTGGGGACGTCACACTGCTGCCACCAGAAAGCGCACGGAGCCTGATGGAAAGCAATGGTTAACAACTTAACATCCATCACAGAAACTGAGAATGATAAAACGCTTCTTTCTTATATAATCATGAGAAACACAATGGTATTGCCACTGGAAATCATCAGTGTGGTTACTATTGAGTGTAGTGATCACACCCAACGGTAACATCACTGCATTACATAGGCCACTCCGATTTAATTCTGAATGATAGATAAGAAATAATGTATTGCAAAGATTACCAGTAATGAAGCAGGTCCAGCTTTTAGTTGCTGCAGCATGTAAGTTTATTAGTGCTTATATATTCAACACTCATTTGATTAATCATTTGAAGCATGATTAAACATCAACCCTGAGCAGCCCTTCCAAACTTCATAATAATGTACATAATATTGCATCCAATAACCCACATATTGAAAGTTTGAAACCACATGGGGTAGCACAGTAGAGTGGCCCCCAATAGAGGTTGTACAGGCCTCTTCTTCACATGTTTTTATAATATTAATAATGTACAATGTTCATTGCATGTAATAATGTCAAGGTTACACAAAGTCATACTCCTTCTATCATATGGGTGTCAAATTGCATCTGTGACACATCTATAACAACTTACCATTCTGGGCCAAATGTCAATGTCTCAGACATATTTTCTGAAAAGGAGACAATAACATACTATTATTACTATCGTTTACTGTATTAGTAATTAGGGATGTATGTGTGTGATCATCGGTAGCATAAATGACACCACCACATGCCGTGATGAGTAGGATTACATATAACCAGATGTCTGGACGTCTGTTCACAGCACCCTCTCTACTCCCCATGTCTGTTACGAAAGCACCCAGCACTCTTAGTGAGGCAGATATGTGAAAAAAATGTTCACATCTGGCAGAAAGGGTGAAATTTTGTATACAGGGGTATTTTGGGGCGCTGATTTCAAAAATTGCCGGATCCAAGAGATCTGACCAATGGATCAGCCGCCATCTTGAATTCCAATATGGCCACCATGACGAAACATTGAACATTACTATCTTGGGTTCTAAATGACATGTGGCGCTTATATTTGGTACACAAGAGCATTTTGACATGCTGAGTTCAATAACGGATTGATTTGACATGTCTGACAAACCATATGGCAGCCATTTTGAATTCCAATATGGCCACCATGACGAAACATTGAACATTACTATCTTGAGTTCTAATTTCTAAATGACCTGCGGCGCTGAAATTTGGTACACAAGAGCATTTTGCCATGCTGAGTTCAATAATGGATTGATTTGAAATGTCTGACAAACCATATGGCAGCCATTTTGAATTCCAATATGGCGACCATGACGAAACATTGAACATTACTATCTTGGGTTCTAAATGACTTGCGGCGCTGAAATTTGGTACACTAGAGCATTTTGACATGCTGACTTCAATAATGGATTGATTTGACATGTCTGTCAAACCATATGGCAGCCATCTTAAATTCCAGTATGGCCGACATGACGAAATGTTGACCAATACTATCTACTACACACACGCGCGCACACACACGCACACACACGCGCGTGCACACACACATACACGCACACACGCACACACACACACGCGCGCACACACGCACGCGCACACACACACACACGCACACACTCACACACACATAG